CCTGTTGCCCATGACTAAGTTTATCTTTCCGTGCTCCACTTGCTCACTTCTTCTTAGTGCCTGCAAATCAGTACAAATGTGAATACCACAACCTGTATCAAGCACCCAAGAATTAGCATTAGATGAGTTGTTAGACAATATTGTGTAAATACCTGCATGGGTGGGTTTAACCTTCCCATCCTTTACATCTTGCAGATATTTGGGGCAGCTTCGCTTGAAGTGTCCCTTATCCTGGCAATAGAAGCACTGTGCTTCCTTTGGGTTTGAAGAAGGAGTAATGGGACCTTTCTTTGTCCCACTTGAAGAGGAACCATCAAGAGTCTTACCCTTGGTACCCTTTGAAGGGCTTTTCCTCTTCTTACCCTTTCCCTTCCCAATAGCCAGAATAGGGGCTGTTGAAGGAGTAGAAGTAGCAACCGCTTTACCCTTAAGGCCATATTCAGCTGTCCTTAAGAGTCCTTGAAGTTTGCTAAGTGTGACTTCCTCCTTGTTCATGTGATAAGTCATACGAAACTGATCATAACTTGGAGGTAAGGAATGGAGAATGATGTCAATCGCCATTTCCTTAGGGAAGTCAACATTTAGCTTCAGCAACCGGTCAACGAACCTTTGCATCTTCTGCAAGTGACCGGTGATGGGTTCACCATCCTTCATCCTTGCGGTTATCATGGAGGAGATGATTTCATACCTCTCTTGACGCGCGCTCTGATGGTACCTTTCCATCAGATCCAGGTGCATCTCATAAGGGTAGAAATCTTCATAGGATTTTTGAAGTTCAGGAGTCATGGTGGCCATCATGATGCATGCTACTTTAGTAACATCCTTTTCATGTGCAACAAACTCCGCAAACTCTTCAGGAGTAGCAGTGGCTTCATTCACAACCTTAAGCTCCCTATCAAGGACATATTCTTTGTCCTCATAGCGGGTAATCATTCTGATGTTTCTGATCCACTCATTGAAATTGGATCCATCAAAGATGACCTTACCACACAAGTTCATAAGGGAAAAGGAGCCTGTTGGGTTTGAGCCAGAAGCATTGTTGGAAGACATCTGAAAGGAAAGAAAGACAAGTTTCATTAGATTAGGAATCCTTAATAATTCACCCAAATGAAATATTAAGGCTAGGATCCAACAAACTATTTATAGTTGGAAGAGGGATGCCGTAATCCACACTATAAAATATTTGAAGGTAGGTAAATGACGATTTATCAATTTCCACCATAAGAACGAAATATTTTATTATTAGGTTTTATTGGTTTTGAAACTCCTAGATCTTTTGAGATACATTGAACCTTTCAATGGCATGTTTGAATCTCGATTGTGCCCTCTCAAGTTTGTGACTGGGATGCCGAGGATCACAAACAAGGTGTGAATAACCATACAAATTGACTTGGTACCCTCAACAATATTACCTAATCGATGTGCCGGTAAACCACACACGCTCCACCGATCTATAATAAAGTCAAGTTACCCTTTGCCACACTTACTAGTCCATGTTAGTGTGCCGGTTAACCACACACGCTCCACTAACGACTTGGTAAGGTACAAAGTGTAATTTTATGGGCTAGCACCAATTTCACATTTTCCTAAAGTAACTAAGATTGGGAATTTATAATGTATAGTTACTTTATAATTCATTATACTTTTAATGAGTATTTAAAGTCGTATCCTACCCGTTCGGCTAACGACCCTCCACCGATCAAGGAAGCGGTGGGTGAGAGTGGACACCCATTAAGTCACCATTTTATAGGCAACAACCTTATACCCCCCTTATAGACCGGCTTCGTGAATGAGGCCTACTTGCGGTAAGAATGACATATTCTTATACATATCTATATAATAAAATTATAATAATAGTATAAGTGTTGATTTTTAAACTTTTTAAAAATCTAAGGTTTAATTTGGAATTAAAGTATTAAAGTGTAAGACTTTTTCAAATTCCAAAACTTGAGGGCAAGATTTGAAACTATTCCAAGTCTCTTCAATTTGTAACTTATGAGTTTTAATGGTTCATAAAAATGAAGACTCTTCATTTTATGAAACCTCTTTAGTTCTTTAATCACAATTTAAAGAAGTGACTTTTGGTTATCCATAACTTGAGGACAAGTTATGGACACCATCATTGCCATTAAGATCATGAATTAAACACACATGGAGGTTACACATAATTCCTATGATCTTCTAAAACTCATAAGAACACAAATTCATGTCAAGCAATTTCAAGAAATCATATAAACATATACAATACTTGAAAATTGATAAAATTCATGTAAAATGGGTTAACATAATCATTATCATTTTGAAAAACAGATTTTACAAGTCCAAAACAGATTGGGATAATGATTTTAATCCATTTCCAGCAACAAAACTCGAAAAAACTGCCCAACACGCTCCTACTCGTCGAGTGCATGATCCTACTCGACGAGTAGGATGAATTTGTTCATGGACTCGGCGAGTCCTCCCCATGAACTCGGCGAGTCCAGTCGTCAGAGTGCAGATTTTTCGATTTTTAAGTAGTTTTGCATCAAGTATACAGAAAACAATCCTTGGCTCTGATACCACTGATGGGTTTTGAGCATTCTAACACTTCCTAAGTGTACATGCAACCCTAATAACCTTGAATCTATGTTTTCTCTATATACATGCAAATTTCTTTTTCAAGGTTATTTCCTAACTAGCATGGCATGGGGATTTCATAAAACATAAAGACTAGTAGAAATACATACCTTGTTGTTGCTTGAATTCCTTCAAGACTTTGTGAGCCTAGCACCCCAAATGTTGTGCCTCAAATGCTTCATACAACACCACAAAACTTGGAATAACTTGAGAGAATGTCACTTAGCCTCAAAATCGGTTATGCCCTCTCTAGAAACACTTAGTGCACATTTTGCATGCTATAAGGTTTCTTTTATAGTGTGTCATAATTAGGAGTTACAAATGTAAACCCTAATTGTCATGACTCTTCATTTCTCATGACCCATGGGTTTGTAACTCCCATGGACTATCCATGGAGCTCCATATGGTTACAACCAAACCCATAAACCATGGATCATTAATCCACCATAAAAGAATTGATGATTCTCATAATCAACCCTATATATTTAATTAGTCTCATTTTGATCACCAAATTAATACTAGATTAATACTTGATCAATACTAATTAAATAATACTATTATTAATATATTAGAACTTATAATATATTAATAATCATAAGTGCCTTATTCTCTCATTTAGTCTATCCAAGTATTGCAATGCCATGCAACCCAAATGGACCATGCCGGGTCGGGTCAAGTTCATACCAAATAAAGTTATGGACTTAGACACTATATCCAACAGAAAGCTCAACTCCCGGATCACCAACACGAACTCCACCACCTATAGTTACGATAAGACCCTTTTCATAAATTTCCAAATTAGCAGAATACCCTCAGAAGTCAACTGGTCAACTCTTGGTCAAAGTCAAAGTCCACAGTCAAAGTCAACAGTCCATGTTGACTCGACTCGTCGAGTGCAGTTCACCGACTTGTCGAGTCCTTCCTGAACTCGAGAAGTCGTGAAATCCTTGGTTGGCTCGTCGACTTTTCCTTTAACTCGCCGAGTTCATACGTGTCCAAAGACTGAGAAAACCCTAGCCGACTCGCCGAGTCATTCGACTGACTCGCCGAGCCCAAGGCAATCTTCATCGGACTCGCTGAGTTGTTCATCAACTCGTCGCGTTCATGACCATCTTCATACGGCTCACCGAGTCGACCTTGCGACTCGCCGAGTCCCTTCAATCCATCATTCATACATACGCTTTTTAAGCCATGCCAAGGCTCCATATTGTAGATCCAGCTTCCCAAGGCATGTTTATCACGTAAAGTTGCAAACTTTACGTGTATGCAAGGCTCTAATGACTCATAATGCCAAATATAAACTTGAAATGGGGTTTAACTCAAAAGGGAGGGTTCATACTTGCTAAAACTGTAAGCTTTATGGATCTAAAGACCAAGAAGAGTTCAGATCTGAAGTTGCAACTTCAGATCCTAGCTCATACCCAAGATTAGCTTCATAACATGATGAAAAGCCCTAAACTTCAACCCAAAGGAGATCTAGAAGGAAAGAAGGTCAAGGTAACGACTTGATACCTTCAAATGGTGCTATCTGAGGTAGATTTCAGGTCCACACAAGCTCCTTGCTGCTAGCTACTTGATCTTCAAGCTCCCTTTTCCAAGAATCTTCCTCCCAAGGCTTGAAACACACAATGGAGCACACACACACATATTAGGGTTTGAGAGGGACAAGAAGCAGTAAAGGGGAGGCTGGGGGAGGCCAATGATCCTTTAAATAGGGTGCAATACCCTGAGATTTATGGTTTCATCCTCCAACTCCTACTCGTCGATTCCCTTCTTGGACTCAGCGAGTAGGTCACTTAAACTCGCGGACCAACCCGCTGCTACTCGGCGAGTCAGGCCACCAACTCGTCGAGTAGACCTTGAAATCATGAGAATTTATAACCATAAATCGATACTCGGGAATCGGGGCGTTACATAAATGTTCTTATTCTTCTTTCAAAAGCATTTTGTAATTATTATTATTATTATTATTATTATTATTATTATTATTATTATTATTATTATTTTGTTAAGCATGATTTCTTTGGGACTGTGTAACTACAATGACAAACTACATTGACTGTATGAACTTTGTTTTCACATCTGAATGTTCTTATTCTTCTATCAAAACAATTTGTATTATAAATGTTTTTCATATCTAATTTTGTTGCGTTCTATTTACAGTGAGGATGTCTAGTAAAGGTGGAAGTGGAAGGTCGGATCCTGCTTGGAGGCATAGTGAAGAAATAATAGAATAGGGTCCGAAAAAGGCTTACAAATATCTAAAATGTAACTATTGTAGCAAAATCATTAAGGGAGGGGTTCAGAGAGTGAAAAATCATATTGCTTGTACACACCAAGATGTAGAGCCTTGTCCTAATGTTCTAGATATAGTGAAAGAGGAAATGCTTCAATTTTTGAAAGCATTTCAGGCTATTAAATTAGCTTCTCGAATGGCCTTTGAAGAAAATGTGGTAAGTGGGGCATACTACAACATAGGTGAAAGTGTTGATCCTTCATTTACAACTTGTAACTCTAAGGGTGTTAGTGGACCAATAGATAGATGGATGGTGGAGGGACAGGATGATGAAAGAGATGGTCAAGGACCTGTAAGAATGACCCCGACGAATGCTAAAGAGCATCGAAACCAAGTTTGCTTGGATATTGGGAGGTTCATTTACGAGAATGGAATCTTGTTTAATGTATCCAGTAGTCCATCATTTACTAATATGGTACATTCTATTGGAAACTATAGACGCGGATTGAAACCCCCTTCAATGCATGAGTCAAGAACTTGGATCCTTCAAGAAGAAGTCAAGACAACGACAACAATGGTGGATGACATAAAAGTAACTTGGAAGACAACCGAGGTGTCTTGTTATCAGATGGTTGGTCAGACATGAGAAACCATAGTATGATCAATTTTTTGGTCAACAATCAATTTGGAACTGTTTTTTTTAGAACTATTGATGCATCAGATTGCATAAAAAATGCTCAAATTTTTTTCGAGTTGCTTGATGAAGTTGTTGAAGAGATCGGGGAAGATATTGTTGTTCAAGTAGTGACCGCCAATGCTAGTGCATACAAAGCTGTTGGAGCATTGTTAATGGAGAAGAGAAAAAACTTGTATTAGACCCCGTGTGCATTTCACTGCATCGATTTGATGCTTGAAAAAAATGGTGATTTAACTCAACATAAAAATGTTTTGCTTAAAACAAAAAAGGTTAGCAATTTCATCTACAACCATCAGTGGGTGTTAAGTTTATCCCGGAAGATTCTGAAGAAAGATCTACTTCGACCGGCCGCCACGAGATTCGCCACAACTTTTCTGACTATACAAAGCATTTACGACTCGAAACAAAACTTACAACAAATGTTTATTTCAAATGAATGGGTGACATCTTCTTGGGCTAAGATACTCGATGGTAGAGAGATAAAAAAAATATAATTATGGATGAAAGAAATTTTTGGCCTGTGTGGTTTATTCCATGAAAACCACAATGCCACTTGTTCAAGTTTTAAGGCTTGTTGATGGGAGCAAACACCAGCAATGAGATTTATTTATGGGGCGATGGACGAGTGCAAAGAAAAAATAGCAAAGAACTTGGATAACAACCTCGCTTCTTATAAAGAGATCTGGGACATTATCGATAAAAAAATGGGAGTTGCAAATGCATCGTGATTTGCACACGGCTGCCTACTACTTAAATCCACAATATCGATGGAGTCCCAATGTTTCCGAGCATCCGGAGATTAAGCGATGATTGTATGATGTCATGGAAAGGCTCGTGAAGGATATGACAATTTATTTGAAGATTGAAGATTAACTCGTTGCTTACAAAGGAAAAAGAGGATTATTTGGATATAGAGGTTCTTTATCGACATATGAGACACGTCCACCTGGTATATTATTACCTACTTTTGTTATATTATTACCTATTTTTGTTATTATAGTTATAGTTTTTATTTTATATAAATTACATTACTTATTAACTTTTTTATAAACATATATAGTTACATGGTGGGGGGAATATGGAGACGATGCTCCGGAACTCAAGTCATTCGAAATAAAGGTTTTGGGTCTTACGTGTTCCGCTTCAGCTTGTGAACGTAATTGGAGTACGTTCAATCAAGTCCATACAAAGAGACGTAATCGGTTAAACACTGAAAGAATGAACAACTTGGTTTACATCATGTACAATAAAAAGTTGAAGCAAAAGTTCATTAAGAGGACTAAATTAAAAGAAGATGACCCCTTAGTTGTTGAACATGTATTGTCGGATAATGAGTGGATAGCTGCCCCAAGTGATGATGAGGAAGATGATATTGTAGGTGGCGGGGAATTAGGGGAGAAAGATGGCGAGGCAATTGGAAGACCTAGAGGTGGCAGGGTAACTGGAAGACCTAGAGGTGGCGGGACAATTGGGGAAGGAAGTGGAACTAGAAAAAAGAAAGATGTTCAAGTAAATTTGATTGACGAGGATGAATAGGTTCAAGAAGATGAGGGTGACCCGTTAGAAAGTGATGCGAATGATGCTGATTATTATATTTGAACTTGTTTACTAACTTTTGTGATTCCTATGTGGCGGTGTCTTTTGCAGTTTTAGACTTTTTATGTTTTTGAATGTCTTTTTTATAACTAATGGATTTGAACTTGTTTACTAACTTTAGTATTTTATTATATATATATATATATATATATATATATATATATATATATATATATATATATATATAAAATTCTGCCTTGGGCTTACGTCACTCCGCCTCGAGGCTTACGCCTCGTGAGGCAGAGGGAAAACGCTTCGAGGCGCAATTCCGTACTTTAAAACCTTAACTATAACAAACATGCATGACAAAACGTAGACCTTGAGATGCATCTTCAAAAAATCAAGAATCCGACCATTCAACTCACTAAGCACCTGTACAAAAGTAACCACATACAAGTAAATATTAAGTGATTTCAAGTAAATAAAATTAAGTGGCTTCTAGAGTTAAAGCAACATACTTTTTTGTTTATTCGAGGGTAGCCAATCTTGTGTAGTCACCGACGCCTCTACAGTTTCAGGTACCAAGGATGAACGGCATTCATCAATTATTCTTCCTCCACTACTAAATGTTTGCCTCGGATGCAACACTAGTTGCCAGAACGGCTAATGTGTCATGTGCGATCTTTGCAAGAGTAGGCTGTTTGGCACTATTGACTTTCCACCAATCTAGGACATCAAAAGACTCGCTTCTTCGAAATAAAGATTCTTCTAAATAAAACCCCAACTCGGTTTTGCTTGTAGCAACTACATTAGATTTCTTTGAACAAAACAACGATCGGAAGTTGGAATTGGTAATTTGGAACGTAAAGACTAAAGGCTTAAGTCTACTATCGGAGTCAAGAATATGTCCTCGAGAATGTCTCCTCGATTCCATGACTCCATCCTATCCCGTAAATGGTAAATGGTAATTAACAAAATAACAAATAGAAATCACAATATATAATATAAATAATAAATATATATTATTAAAATATACACGGGGCGGGTTATAAACGGATTGGATCGTTAGTGATCCATACCCGACCCTTTTAGTAAAAGGGTTAATGGGTACGAGTCGCTAACGGGTAAACGAATCACAAATCACAATCCAAACCCTTATAATTTTTACGGATTCGGATCGGATCAGGGTCAAAACCCGCTCCATTGTCAGACCTAACCATAAGCTAGCGATGAAGGTTTTTTTATATCACAAAATAAAGGTAATTTATTTCTTAATTCATGGAATTTGTAATAAATGTTGTTTTCATATAAACCGGATAAATTGTGTCTTTTGTGGAAAACGGACAAAACACAAGCACAAAATTTCATTATGATTAACCAAACATCGGGTACTAAAGTTCTTGATTCCCTGTGTCCTTGGTGTCTAAGCAAAAGCACTATTCACAACTTCCATCTTTTAAACCTTTTTGCTTTGAATCTTATTCTCTTTCTAATGGAATGACACATTTGAGTGTCAATGCTTCAATCCCTATCTACTTACTTATAAACTTGCATTTGGGTAGGTAATACTTTTTTATTTGCCAAATTACGTAGGAATTACTAAAATGATTTCATAAAAATGTGTCCATAGAAAATGAGACACAAGTATTATTAACATTCTCATGAATTACCCTATAAGGTGTTTGCTCGTAACAAATGAATAAAAGTTGTAACTTTTATTTATATATAAGTATTTAATTACTTTCCTTTTAATGCATGTAAAATGACATTATAGATAAAAGATAAAAGCTCTCAAATATGAGCATTTTGTTTAAAATAATAAAATCATACTTTCGAACAAAGTTTTATATTTTTTTTTGTTTCAAAAAAAAAAAAACTAAAAGTTAAAGGCTTTTGAAAATATAAAAATGTTTAAGTTATTTTTAGTCACTGAACTTTTTTGGGTGTTTTATTTTGATCATTATATTTTGTTTAAACCACCATTGATCGTTGGACTTGTTTATTTTTGTTCATTTTGGTTACTCTAACCGGTGGTAGCCGGTCTATAACATCGAACGACATTGTCAAGATTATAATTAGTTATTGAACATTTCTTCGTGTTTTATTTTAGTTATTATACTTTATTTAAGTTATCATTGGTCAATGAACTTACTTAATTTTTTCATTTTAGTCACTCTATTTTTGTATTATCATTTATCAAAAAATTAAAAAATACTACAATTTTTTTTTCTTTTCTCCACAACTAAACTTATTACATCAACTGTTTAAGAGTAAATTATATGAATAATCCTTGTGATTTAGGGTAACATATACGTTTAATGTTTTCAATTGCTTCATGCAAAACATAATGATGATGACTGAGTGTGTTTCTACCAACAACCAGAGTGATGGGGTGAATAAGGGCAAAATAGTCTTTTTTAAAACCATTGAGAACGTTCAAGTTAAAAAAGCTAAGGACTAAATGTGTACGCTACCCTGAATCAAAAAGATTATTCATATAATTTACACTACAATAATTGATGTAACAAGTTTAGTTATGGAGAAAAAGGAAAAAAATATTAGTTTTTTTAATTTTTTTTTATAAATGATAATAAAAAATAGTGACTAAAATGAAAAAAAAAATAAACAAGTTCAATAACTAATGGTAGCTTAAACAAAGTATAATAACTAAAATAAAACACCAAGAAAAGTTAAATAATTAATTACAACTTTGACAACATTATTCGATGTTATACACTTGTTATCACTGGTTAGAGTGATCAAAATAAACAAATTCAATAATAAATGATAACTTAAACAAAATATAATAAACAAAGTAAAATATTCAAAAAAATTTAATGATAAAAAATAACCTAAACCCACTATAAAAAAAAAATAGTTGTCAAACATATCATAATGGTTACATCAAAGGTCACACCTATCATTTACAGGAGATGTTTCTTTTATTTAAGAATTTAAATCATCCATATAAAAATATAAAATACTACTCTCTAACGCCGGTATATTTTTTTTTTTCACATTACATGTCAATGTTACTTTACATACTATTTCATTTTTTTTCTAGAAAACGTTCCTCGGCCTGTAGGGAGGCCACCACAGCTCTCCACGACATTCTTGATCCCTAATTACAACATTCTTGATTCCTAATTACAAACACTCTAATTACAATTATTGTGCACATCACTAAATCATAAAATTTAATGTGGATTTCATTTTTTGGAATAATGATCTCCCATCATTTAGATCTTGATGGGTTTTAATTTGTTTCCCCGTTTAAGAAATCACTTTGTTTGGTAATTAAACAAACTACACACAATTCAAACGTGTAATATAAACAAACATCATACTAAAAAAACACAAATGGCTATATGATAACAAACATTTTATCTCTCAATAAATGAAACATAATATTGGATATGGAGCTAATCCGTACACAACAATTTTTCTCCGTACACAACAATTGGTGTTTTAAAATGTTGTATGATACAACTATATAACGCATGAATTGTTGTGTACTATTCGATACCATTGAGTCATTGACCATTATGTATGATTTTCACAACTATCATACGATTCTGGGCATATACAAAACAAAACCGAATTCTTTGAGTGCATACGAAGGAATCATTTCTTATTATATGATGTAAATGCAACAAGATATGTCTTAAAATTACGACTTTAATTTACTGAAAAATTTATTATTCAGGTAGGTGATAGGATCAGTACAAATCATTAAAGCAAAGCCATTTGAATGGCTTCCTTGTGCATGACTGTACAAAGTGCACAGATGAGTAAAGTTGGCAGTGGGGAAGATAGAGAGAGAGTGAGAGAGAGAGAGAGAGTGAGATGCTTTACAACTTTTTCTTTACTCTAAAGAATCAAAAGTAAAACACTCTCAAAACCCTAAACCAATTGAATTCAAAAAAGAACCAAAATATTCCTCATAAAGATAGTATTTTGATTTTCTTTGGTTCCTTACTCTCATCTTTCTCTATTTCTTAACTCTGTTTCACACCCCTTTTTCCCTTTTTTCCTAAAAAATTATCAAAACCAGTTCCACCATGTTTTCGTGAAGAGTTCTATCAAGTGGGTGTTCATTCTTTAATCTTTTGTGTCATCACATTGTGTACAACCAAGATTTCAAGAAAAAGTTCGCATTTTTTTCCACAGAAATTTGCGTCGTGGTATTGTAATCCATTTATTTATGCTTTTTAGATAGGAAACAACAGGTTATGGGGATTGAGTGATACCCTTTTCAAGATTTTGTGTCATATTGTTGAAATCAAGGTTATATCGTGTCGAAATTTGTGGGTTTTTTTTGGATTCATAAGAAAAAGGTTTTAGACGACAGAGATGGCCGGAGGAGGGCAAGCGCCACCGCCGAAACAAGATGAGTTGCAGCCGCATCCTGCTAAAGATCAGCTTCCGAATGTTTCTTATTGCATAACAAGTCCACCACCATGGCGTAAGTTTTTGCTCTGTTTCTTCTTCTTCTTCTTCTTCTTCAAACACATACTTATCTTTGTATTCCTAATGTTTTTTCTCATTTTTATCATGGGTTTCTAGCATTTTTTTGTGTTATCTCATGTAGGGTTTGATCAGTAAAAACCCTTATGTGTAAACATTCAGGAGTTGTGCAAAAACAAAATTACAAAACCATGTAAAATTTGGATCATGATTACGTTTTTTTATTATTTATATTGCGTTCAAAGCAAAATTGTTAACTTGCAAGGATTATTGATTATGGAGGAAAAGAAAAGCTAGATTGATTGATCATAACTTCAACAAAATTGAACGTTCTTGCAAAATCAGTGTTTTTTTTTACAAAAAAAAAAAAAAAGATTAATTTTAATGTAAAACGAAGAATGATGGTTAAAACTTTAAACTCAATCATTATGTGTTTTATTGTGCGTGTGTTTTGATAAAATTTATGTTTGTGTGTATTTTAGTTCTCATTTGTGTGAAAATTAACTATTAATTATCACGAAATGATTTTTCTGTTTTTATTTTTAATTTTTCTAATTAACAAAGAAAACCCTCTTGAGATAAAAGTCGAATTATTCATCATTTCATCTTATGCTTTTCCAAGATAGAAATCTTGTTTACATAAAATTACCAAAATGCCCCTATCTCCTAATCTTGATCCTTCGCTTTCTTATTATTAATTGACATTTTCTTGAATTTGCAACAGCCGAGGCAATACTTTTAGGTTTTCAGCATTATCTTGTGATGCTTGGAACAACCGTTCTCATTCCCACCACTCTCGTTCCCCAAATGGGTGGAGGGCATGTAAGTCATTTCACAAGATCTCAACTGCAATGTTGGTTTTTATTTTTAGTCGATAATTTGATTGGATACATGGGTTTTGTTTGTTTAAGGAAGAAAAAGCCAAAATGATTCAGACACTACTCTTTGTTGCTGGCATCAACACATTAACACAAACACTTTTTGGAACTCGGTTGCCAGCCGTCATTGGAGGCTCCTTTACTTTCATCCCTACAACCATTTCAATCATCTTGGCTGCTCGATATGCTGACATTGTCGATCCTCAAGAGGTAAAACTAAACCTTATTCAAGATTTAGTAAGGGCATTTACGTCTTTTACACATAAAAAATATATTTAGATAGTATAAAAATCAGCAATTTTTGTCCAACTGACGTCTACGTATTAGTCACTACCTCTCCCATCATTTTGGGTGGGACAAAATGGTGCAATTTTTGTCCATCTGACATCAACTCAGGTAGTTACTACTCTAGTAGTAGTAACTACGTGTCCCACCTTTTTGGGTGGGACAAAAAACTACAATTTTTGTCTCATCCCATCTTTTTGGATAGGGCAAAATATTGTAATTTTTGTCCATCTGACATCAACTAGGTAGTTACTATTCTAATAGTAGTAACCACCTGTCCCATCTTTTTGGGTGGGACAAAAAACTGCAATTTTTGTCCCATATTTTTTCTGGGACAAAAAGTTGCTATTTTAAACGTATTTAACATTAATTAGAGTAAAAAAGTTGCATATTTTGTCCCACTTTTTTTTTGGGTAGGACAAAATATTACAATTTTTATCCATTTTTTGGGTGGACGAAACGTTGCAATTTTTGTTCTCCATTTTGTCATGAAAAACAAATGGGGCCTATAAGTAAGATTTTTATTCAAGATTTAAGCCAATTTAATCCCAATTTCTTGATGATTATATAGAAATTTGAGAGAATTATGAGAGGTACACAAGGTGCTCTTATTGTGGCCTCAACTCTTCAAATTGTGCTTGGTTTTAGTGGACTTTGGCGCAATATCACAAGGTTCATGAGTCCATTGTCAGCAGTTCCACTGGTTGCTCTAACTGGATATGGGCTATACGAGTTTGGTTTTCCCTTGGTATAATACAATTTCATAACATCTCACTTTTATAAATTATAATTAATATCTTCTTTTTCTTGCTTTTAGTTTTATATACTTGTATCATTTTCTTTAGGTTGCTAAATGCATCGAGATTGGACTTCCCCAAATCGTGTTTCTGCTGATTTTCTCACAGGTATTTATTAATAAAATGTTTTAATAAGAAAAAAAATGAAATTAGAATGCTATTGTGTTAAACTACAATGATGTTTTTATTGCAGTATATACCACATCTTATGAGTGGAAAGAGTCATATATTTGATCGATTTGCTGTCTTATTTTCTGTGGTGATTGTGTGGATATATGCTCACTTACTCACTGTTGGTGGGGCCTACAAGAACAAATCTGACACAACTCAATACAGTTGTAGAACCGATCGTGCTGGAATCATAGGCGCTGCTCCTTGGTATACAATCTTTTTTCATCGAATTTTGTTTATGTATTCTTAAATTCCACAAATTGTTTAAAAAAATGTTTTTTTTTTTTTTTATAGGATACGAGTTCCTTATCCGTTTCAATGGGGAGCTCCAACATTTGATGCTGGAGAAGCTTTTGCTATGATGGCTGCTTCATTCGTATCTCTTGTCGAGGTTGTTAACTTTAAACTATACCTTGTATTTACATATAGAGTAAATTACACGAATGGTCCTTATGGTTTAGGGTAATTTGCGGGTTTGGTCCCTAACTTATATTTTTAACTCGGAAGGTCTCTACTGTTTGTTTTTGTTATGCGCTTGGTCCCTGTATTACCTAAAAAAATTATTTTTGCCCTTAATTTTTTAATTTATTTAAATAAACACACCTCCAATCCCACCCCCTCGCCTTACCTTACATACCGTATCATTTTTTCCTATTTAAATAATAGTCTTTTTAGATAAAACAGGGACCAAGCGCGTAAAAAAAATAAACAGTAGGGACCAAACACGTAACAAAAACAAATAATAGTATCTCCCGAGTTAAAAAATTAAGTTAGAGACCAAGTGCATAAATTACCCCAAACCATAGGGACCATTCGAAAAAAATTTACTCTTACATATAAGAAATATTCATTTTATTCGATTTTAATGGGTTCTTTTTTGGATTTTTCAAAACAGTCTACTGGCGCGTTCATTGCAGTTGCTAGATACGCGAGTGCAACGCCTATGCCGCCTTCGGTTCTTAGCCGTGGCATTGGTTGGCAGGTACCGGAATACTAACTCCGCCGTAGCCCCGCCACTCCACCACCCAATTCCATCCATGATTTCGACTGATTCTTTATCTTTTTTCTTTCTAAAGGGAGTCGGCATTTTGTTTTCTGGAATCTTTGGAACAGGAAATGGTTCAGCCGTATCAGTGTAAGCTTATACTTATTACAGTTTAATTGATAAAATTGTCAAGATTTCTTTGCAAGATTCTTAAAATCAAATCTATTACAGCGAAAATGCTGGCTTACTTGGCTTAACACGCGTTGGTAGCAGAAGGGTTGTCCAGATTTCTGCTGGTTTCATGATATTCTTCTCTGTTCTTGGTAATAATCAAGCATTCGTTATTCTACATAAGCATTCGATTCATCTTTCTGTTTCGTAATTTCTTGATGACTGAACTCGATTTGCAGGAAAATTTGGGGCTGTATTTGCATCGATTCCCGCGCCGATTGTTGCAGCATTGTATTGCCTGTTCTTCGCCTATGTTGGTACGCATTAAACGTTAAAGCATTTTCGAGTTGCAGTTTAGGTTAAATTTTCTGCTAATCTGTTAATCTGGTGATTATTTTCTTGAAATATTTGAATGAAAACAGGCTCAGCAGGTCTTGGATTTCTCCAATTTTGTAATTTAAACAGTTTCAGAGTAAAATTCATTCTTGGATTCTCGATCTTTATGGGGTTATCGATACCACAATACTTCAATGAGTACACTGCGATAAAGGGTTATGGTCCTGTCCACACGAAAGCCAGATGGGTAAGAAGTGTTCATCGAATTTTAATTTGAGATGTACCAAGTTTGACCACAAAAAGTCAAAGTTACACTAATGAGAACCCTTTTTATTCCTTTTCTTTCTTCAGTGGAATGATATGATAAATGTGCCTTTCTCTTCGGAAGCATTTGTGGGTGGATTATTGGCCATGTTGCTAGATGTAACATTAAGGCAGAAAGATGCTGCAACAAGGAAGGATAGAGGGATGCATTGGTGGGACAAATATAGATCTTTCAAGACAGATACAAGGAGTGAAGAATTTTACTCATTGCCCTTTAATCTCAACAAGTTTTTCCCTTCGGTTTGATTGAAAAAAGGGATCTTATTCTTGTTACTTTTGCATAGTGCATTGTTTTGAATATTTGATCTTTATGCATATTCTATCTTTAAATCTTGATCAACTTTTGGCCTATGGTGCCCATCTTACAAAAAGTCCAAACCTTTTGGGCATTCCTTGCATTCTTGAATTTCATTGGTTTTTTTCAAGACTCTAAAAAACCACCTTGGAGAAGAAGTTTTTGTGTTATAAAATGTAACAAGAGAACAAAAGACAAGTAAATAGATTGATTAAGACATGTTAACCTAATTACTATACCTAGAATACTTTTAATCCCTGATACAACAACTGATGTATGGGTTTTCAAATTAATATATCCTCAAGAAATACCAATCCAGAACGAAAAAACAACAATTAATTTTTCATCATCCATGAACCATCATAGTATCTCTGTTTGTGTAGAGAAGGGAGACTTTTTAATGCTAGTTGAGGAAAAATAAACTAGTACTACATATATCAAATTATATGTACTTATCTTTTTATAGAGTAAATAGTAAATTACAACCAAATGGCTCTTAGCTAACGGTATCAAGTGTTTGAAAATGTGTCACTTCTCTAAAAGGTTGAGGATTTAAATCTCATGGTGGACAAATATGTAGTTCAGGAGTAGAATTCAGAGGATGTGTGTTAGTCGTTCTAAAAAAAATTATAAATTTTACGCTATTGTTTATTCGGTTTATGGATTTGGTCAACTTTTTCATTTCTTACTTATACCGTATTTGAAAAAGATTTATTGTTATGTTTTTGCTTCCCGGGATAACATCGTTAGAAAAGGATCATATTAAACGGGGATATCATCGCTAGAGAGGGACCATGTGAAACGTATGTAAAATGACAATTTTGTTATTGCTTTCATATTTATTGTTCATTTTGTTTTGAGAAAACTACAAAATGATCCTTGTGGTATAATGAAAAACACAGTTTCAATCCAAGATTCGATTCTGTCACATCACAGAGTGTCCTCGTAGTTTCATGTAATTAAAAGTTGAAAGAATTTCATGTAATGAAAAGTCGATAGAAACACTCAATGGTAAAAACATCTTGTTTCAAGTATATTCAATTTCCAGTTTTGTATCGTATTTAGACTAGCATTTGAATCAAATCATGATTTAAGTTAGCACTAAAAGACGTTAACAAGCTTTATATATATATATATATATATATATATATATATATATATATATATATATATATATATATATATATAAAACACTCAATGATAATGAACATATCTCTCTCTCTTTATATATATATATATATATATATATATATATATATATATATATATATATATATATATATATTACTCAAATATATGTATATATTACTCAAATAAATATCTTATAAGGCTATCTAGCATACCCAAGTTACTCTATATGATGAGATATTGCTCAAGGACTTCACTTTGATTGTTGTCCCTACAACACAATTATAGTCCCCTACAAAGGTCATATTTGAACCACATATAGTCCTTTTCTAAATTCAATATGTGAACCCAACACCTCACATGGGCTTTACAATGATTTACCTAAAATCTCAAAACTTTGCTTAATGTGGGTATATGATTATATATATTTGGGATAGAAGTGACCGAATAGATGGCTTAAGAAATTTGAAAAATGCATATTATTATATTAAAATTGGTCGGAATGGGTTGATTATTAATATTTTTTTTTTGTTAGAAATGGTTATAGACTGTATTTGTAGAAAACATATTTTTAATAAGATATTTAAGTGGTTATAACTTCTAAGCATTATTTTATACTTTTAGTGATTTTCGATCCATGTTTAACTATATTTTTTTAGATTACCGATTTCAGCAATTACATATCAATATATTTCTTATAATAGAGGTTACGCAATAATTGTAGGCATATAAATTATTTATGTTTTGTCATATTAAAAGTTGAGAATTTTCTTTTGTAAATAATGAAGAGTGTGTATTAATGGATAGCCACGTAAAATTCACTAAACCAGTACCAAACTGAAAACCGACGGTTCTAATAATGGTATACACTCTTAGAAACAAGTTATTGACCTTCTTGAAAAGATTCGTAGGCAGTTCTTATGGGGCGGGAGTGATAACAAGTATAAAATTGCTTGGGTATCGTGGGAAAAGATCGTTGCCCCAAAGGATAAAGGGGGACTTGGTCTTGGATCACTCAGGGCCTTCAACATATCAATGATTGTCAAATGGTGGTGGGCATTAAAAACAAACAAAACAGCTTTATGGAGTCGTGTAATTATGGGTATTCATAATCTGCAAAACAAACCTGCTAATATCTTATCAAAAAGAACTATTGCAGGTGTGTGGAACAATATCGCGGAGGTGACGAATGAACTATCTAAAGTTGGGATAAGCTTTCGAGACATTCTAAAGAAAAAAGTGAAGAATGGTGACGATATCCTCTTTTGGATGGACGATTGGTGTGATGGTGAGCCACTAAAGGATCAATTCCCAGAACTATATCAACTTGAAAGACGTAAAGCTTGCAGGATTAGTCAAAGAGTGCAAGTGGAGGGCTATACTTGGGAATGGAGATCAACCCTTGTAACTGATGAACAGATTCATAGCTTTCAGATGCTGTACGAGGCCATTGGTGAGCACCGGCCATCTCCAGATCCGGAGTCATGGATCTGCCCCTTATCGGATGATGGTACTTTTCACGTAGAGGCGATCAAATTAAAAATTGATAATATAGAGCCGGCAATCAACGAAGTAATCATCCCGTGGATTCATGATATCCCTATAAAGGTCAATACCTTTATTTGGAAGGCTAATATGGGACATATCCCAACCAACCTGGCGTTGAAAAAGAGAGGAGTCACAATTATAAACGCATCATGTTCCCAATGTCATCTTGAGGACGAAGATACGGAGCACATTCTGATACGTTGCCCAGTGGCGAGCAATGTTTGGGATCTGATATTTAAATGGTGCAATATTCCGAAACCACAATTCCAAACCATCGGGGATCTTATCGGGTTCGTGAAAACTTGGGGGAGATGTCGGAGAAGGAGAAACAACCTAATTTGTGTTTGTTTTGGTGTAATGTGGATATTATGGAAAACAAGATGTGAATGGGTGTTCAGGAGCATACGAATTTCCCACTTCCAGATCATTGATAGTGTCAAGTCTCTTGTATTCACTTGGCTTAGGCACAGGAGAGTAGATTGTCGTTTTAAATGGACTGATTGGTGTATTTGCCCTTTGAATTGTTTGTAATTCAAACTCAAATGTAACTTTCTTTTTCTGGGCCTGCCTAGCACCTTGCTAGGTGGTGGTCCACTAATAATAATTGCCGGTTCTAAAAAAAAAAAAAAACTACAACAATTCTTTAGATTTTATAACCGATAATATTCCCATATGATTATGACAGAGAAAAATTACAAGGTTCTCAATGAAAAGATAAAAACTACAAAGAAGAAAACGGAGAATAAATACTAGCAAGACAAAACCCTAATGGGTCAAAGCCTAAAGGGCCCATAAACATGTGGTCTAATAACATATAGGTTAACACCCCCCCCCCCCTCAAACTCACAATGCCAGAACAATTAGCATTGAGAGTTTGTCACACAAGAGTCGAAACCGAGAAGCCGATAGAGCCTTCGTAAAAATATACGCAAGCTGCAAGGTTGATGAAACAAACGGAAACGATATGGTTCCGAGTTGTAAGTGATGACGGGTGAAGTGACAGTCAATCTCAATGTGCTTCGTCCACTCATGGAAAACATAATTCTTCGCAATTTGTATCGCACTTTTGTTATCACAATGCAAGGGAGTAGGTGAAGAAATGTGAACTCCCATATCCGTAAGCAGCCATTGTAGCCAGATAATCTCACATGTAGTCATAGCCATAGCACGATACTCAGCCTCCGTGGAAGATCTAGAGACAACGTCATATTTCTTGCTCTTCCATGAAATGAGAGACTCTCCTAGAAATACACAAAATCTTGTGGTGGATTTACGATAATGACAATTGTCATCCCAATCAGCATCACTATAGGCATGTAACTCAAGAGAAGACGTCGAGGGAAACAAGAGGGTCTGAAACTAAGTGCCACGAAGATATCTCAGAGTACGGAGAAGAACTCCCCAATGAATAGAGGTAGGAGCAGTAACAAACTAACTGACAACATGAACAACATGAGCAATATCCGGACGAGTAATAGTGAGATAATACAAACTTCCCACAATAGTGCGATAAAGATTCGGATCAGACAAAGGAACACCATCAGTAGGGAGAGTGCTGTGCATTGGTTTCAAGAGGAGTATCAACAGTCCGATTGTTAGAGAGGCCCGCCCGTGTAAACAAGTCAAATATATATTTAGTCCGAGAAAGAAGATACCCTTTCTTAGACTGAGCTACCTTAATACCCAAGAAATAACGCAATAAGCCCAAATCCTTCATAGCAAATCTATGAGCTAGATCATGTTTCAATGACTCAATACCACCATGGTCATCACCAGTAATAATCATATCATCCATATATAAGGACAAAAGAATCCGTCCTCCACTCGAGCATCTAACAAACAAAGCTGAATCATGATTACTCTGGACAAATCCAAGAGAGTTAATCACTGTTGAGAATTTCTCAAACCAAGCACAAGGTGCTTGCTTGAGACCATACAAAGCTTTGTGAAGCCGACAAACCTCACTCGGTTGGTGCCGAATTCTTGGGGGAGGATACATATAAACCTCTTCATGGAGGTCACCATTCAAAAGGGCATTCATGACATCCATTTGAAATATCCTCCACTGTCGAACGAATGCAACTGCAATCATAGTACGTATTATCGTCATCTTTGCCACTGGGGAAAAGGTCTCCTCATAGTCAAAACCGTATTGTTGAGAATACCCATTTGCTACAAGTCTGGCCTTGTACCGCTCAACAGACCCATCAACTTTTGTTTTTATCTTGTACACCCAACGACAACCAATCGTATGTTTCCCAGGAGGAAGGGAAACTAAATCCCATGTATGAGTTTGATAAAGAGCAGCGAGTTCCT